TGCCGTGACCCACAGCCCCCTAGGTTATGGTTATGTGAACTTCCGCTTTCCTGCAGATGCTGAGTGGGCCTTGTACACAATGAACTTTGATTTAATTAATGGTAAACCATTTCGCCTCATGTGGTCACAGCCAGATGACCGCTTAAGAAAGTCTGGAGTTGGAAATATATTCATCAAGAACTTGGATAAATCCATAGACAATAGGGCCCTATTTTATTTATTTTCTGCTTTTGGGAACATTCTTTCCTGTAAAGTAGTATGTGATGACAATGGCTCTAAGGGTTATGCCTATGTCCACTTTGATAGCCTTGCTGCTGCCAATAGGGCTATCTGGCATATGAATGGAGTCCGGCTCAACAACCGCCAGGTGTATGTGGGCCGATTCAAATTCCCTGAAGAGAGAGCAGCTGAAGTCAGAACCAGGGATAGAGCCACATTTACCAACGTTTTTGTGAAAAACCTTGGAGACGATATGGATGATGAAAAACTAAAGGAAATTTTCAGTGAATATGGTTCAATTGAGCGTGTAAAAGTAATAAGAGATGCCAGTGGGAAATCTAAATGCTTTGGATTTGTCAGATATGAGACACATGAAGCTGCCCAAAAATCTGTGCTAGACCTGCACGGAAAAACAATATATGGGAAAGTCCTACATGTAGGGAGAGCACAAAAGAAAATTGAAAGATTGGCTGATTTAAGGCGGAGATTTGAAAGGCTGAAATTAAAAGACAAGAGTAGGTCTCCAGGTGTGCCTATCTATATTAAGAACCTGGATGAGAGCATCGATGACGAAAAACTAAAGGAGGAATTTTCTTCATTTGGATCAATTAGTCGAGCCAAAGTGATGACAGAAGTGGGACAAGGCAAAGGGTTTGGTGTCATCTGCTTTTCTTCTTTTGAAGAGGCTACCAAAGCAGTGGATGAGATGAACGGCCATGTATTAGGCTCTAAGCCACTGAATGTCATGCTGGGTCAAGCCAGGCACAGGTGGTGAGAATCACAATGATCAGTTTGTTTAGCCTTATTTGGCACCTACTTAGCTTGGGCTCCTTTGTGATAGGCAGACATCCTTTTGCTGTTGTTTTCTTTTGTGTGTGTGTGAAAAAAAATTGTTTTACAAAGTTTACATTAAAAATCTTGTTTATTTTAGTGAAGAAAATATTTTTTACATGTAAAATGTCATTTTGTATGATTTTTGCAAATAATATCAATACTTAATAATTTGTGGAATAAAGTTTATTTTTTGTAAATAGCCTAATTGAGGCAATTGTTCATATTTCTATCTTTATTTCCATAATACTAATTTAATTTATTCCAAGAAAATATACTTAGCATAGTCCTTATTTCTGATTCTGACCCATTCGAAAAGTCACCACTTGCTTTTTTAGAGAAATAGTCAAAGTAGGGAGAAACGTATAAGAGCCACTTGAAATTGCTGCATAATTTCTTATTAAATTATGATTTAAAGGTATATTTTCAACAATATGTGAAGATTCTTTCCTGTGTTTATTAATATTGGTTTTCTTTTATAAATATATTAGAAGCATACTACATATTTGTTGTAGTATTGGAAATTCTGAAATATGTTGCATTGATTAATGGCTACTCAAAATGTGATGGTATCTTAAAAGTCTTTTCAAATTGATTTAGTATGTGAAAATAATCTAAAAGCCATCCTTAATAGTTCTTTTTCTAAATGTATATAATGGTCATATACATGTAGATTATGTTAAATTAGCAAGAAAATTTAATAATGTACTAACTCATCTGTATTTTAAATATTTTAAATATTTTGTATGCTACTGCTAGAAAAACTACTGCTTCTTATAAACTTTGAATAGATCCATGTGAAATAATGCCCATGCTTCATTAAGGGAAAGGTTTCATCTTGATTAGGTCACATGACAATTATTAACTCCAAATAATTCTCATTTGCTACATCAGAACATTTAAAAAAGAATGTGTGGTTTCCACACCTTAAGGACAAAATATTGTTCTGCAGCTTCTTTATGTACCATGCAATTTCTAAACTACAAATTCTCCACATTTCACTGGCAATAACCTCTTCTTGTCTCTTTCAGCTTTCAATCCATGTATCATTTAAATCAGTATAATTATCTTTGGAAATTAGAAAAATAATCAAATTGTATTGAACTTGAATAACTTTCTAATGAATATATGATTGACTCATTTGACAGATTCAATCACAAGAACACCTTTGATGTCCCTTGTCAGTTTATTGTTTGTAATTGCTCTACAGATAAATCTTCTTTTTAAGAGTAATATAATTATACAATTTTAAAAGTACTGTTAGCTCTTTGACCATAAAATTAAATTAGGGTATTTCTATGTAATGATATCCAATTATGTGAATATACATAGTATAGTATTTTCAAAATGAAAATTGCTGATTTATTGATTATAAATATAATATATAATCATAAATCCTATAAAAATTATACAAAGAAATCACTCTCAAATTTTGTATGTGAATATCCTTTTATATGTTTTTCTTATATGTGCACACATTTTTTTTGAAAACTACAATATGCAATGTTCCATAATTTGTTTTACATTGAACACAGTCATCTTTAGATTCCAGTAAATCAATATATTATATCCATTTTTATATATATCATGATTTTAGAGATTTCATAGTTTTCCTTAGTATGGATATTGTGTAAGACTTTTTTTTCATATACATAGAGGAATTTTATTCAGTAGTAAAAAAAATGAAATTTGCATATAAATGGATGGAATTAGGAAAGCTATAGAGATCTGAACAACCTATGCCCAGATGCCAAACTGTGTGTGTTTTCACTTTTATGCACATGTAGCTTTGTTATTTTTTTGGATTTTTTTAAATTTAATTTTATATAACAAAGTCCAATTAAATGAAAACAAACATTTATACACAATATTTGGGAATTTGGGCGTCGTTCTTTCCAAACTACTTCCTGCTGGTAAGGGGCACTGTCTTGGGGGATTCAAAGAAGATTCAGATATCCTGGCTGTAGTCTGTAGGGCTGTTTTGTCCAGCTGTTTTGAATGTAGGATCAGCTTGTACTCTGTTTCAGGCAGTCTGGCGTGATCAAACCACAAGACTTTTGATTCAATACTTTCTTAAAATTTGTAAACTATATTGAGCTGATCACTTTTTTCTGGAAACATTGTACATGATGAGTTCAACAAAAATGTCTATAAAATATAAGAATTAAATCTTTAAAACACTCAATAGTTAGGTATGTTCCAAATTTTTGAATACTTTAAACATGTATTCTCTATCTAAGTTTGTATGAAAAAATAAGAAGAATATTTTTATTCTTGATGAACCTACTTTATATTATTGCAACTATCAAAATAAATAAAATTTTAAATAGATACAATGAAAATTATATATCTTATTTTTATTCATTTTAAACACTATCTTTTCTTAAAGATTTATTCATTTTTATTTTATACCACTTGTGTCTTCCCAATGTTTGTCTGTTTGAAGTTTCAATATCTCCTGGAAATGAATTTACAGATAGTGATGCCTGCAATGTAAGTTATGGGAATTTAACCCAGGTCCACTGGAAGAGCAGCCAGTGCTCTTACCCACTGAGCGATATCTCCAGCCCCAAATGTCTTTTTAAAGTCATAGTTATAAGTACAAAACATCACATTTAGCATGATTCTCTGAAAATTTTTTGTAAAATATAGGAAGATTTCTAGAAAGTAAAAACAATCAAATTTAATATATGATTTTTAAACTTCATATTTAAAGTGTTATTACATTCTAAAGAACAACATTTATATATTGGAGGCTAATTTAATTATTCTTATGAAAAGGTAAAATAGTTATACCGAATATATAGTTAGCCATTTGAAAAATTGGAAAATTCATGTGCTGAAAACGTGTGAATTATATGTTAAAGGTAATCTCTCTATAAATAGAAATACCTCAGTAGTTTTTAATCTGGTGCTTAAATATTATCTACTTACACTGCAAAAGAGCAACAATATTGCCAAGGGTTTTATAAAGCTTATTGCCCAGCATTTCTGAGGAAACTATAATTAGTATAAATACAGCTAGTCTCTGGTTAATAATCATCTATTTAATACAAGTTTTATTTTGATTAAGTTTTGAAAGCAATCACTTGGACAAATTTTTAAACTGCCAAGAGAGAAGAAAATAATATTCCTTTATGATTATATGCCATCATAATAAAAATGGAGGAGAAAAATATAAACTTCTGTAGCAGAGATTTTTTTTTATTTCCTTGTTGGATATATATATATATATATATTTATACACAATATTTGGGAATTGGGGTGTCGCTCTTTCCAAACAATTTCCTGATGGTAAGTGGCGCTGTCATGGGGGATTCTAAGAGGATGCAGAAATCCTGGCTGTAGTCTGTAAGGCTGCTTGGTCCAGGTGTTTTGAATGGAGGATCACCTGGTACTCTGTTTTAAACCAAAAAAATAAATTAAATAAAAAAAATGCTTTGACTCCAAAACAATATATATCTTTAATTAGGAACTTGAACATGGAATAAATACCACCTTCCCTGCAAATAAATTGCTTAGTCTAAGATTAAAATTAAAAATATATCAATACATGACTGCATATAGATAATTGAAATGTGTTTAACAACTTTAATAGTACCTAAAATACAGTATTCAACAAACCATTAATACATGCATTAGTAACATGAGTGAAACCCTTTAATTTAGTTACCCTTCAATTCTTCTATCAACATTTGGTAAGCTAAATGATATTTTATGTAGCATATGAAAATGCAATTGAGAACTAAATAATATTTATATTGTTTTATAATTGTTTTTGAAATATCTTCTTTTTAGTGTTTTTTTTATAATTTCACTATTAGATTGATAATCATGTTATGAATTCAAAGCCTGTGATGATTTGTAGAGTGTCACTTTTTCTTTGTTAATGACATTCTATATGAAGACCAATCAAACTCCACAAAATATTACTTTTGTGATGTAATATATTACATTTATTCCCAAGAAAATAGTAGTTGCTCATCTGTAATTATTTATCCCTTGCACAGTCACAGAATTTTTTCTACTCTTAACAAGTATCCTAAAAATACGATTACTTACACACTCAGTGTTTCCCAGATAGCTTCAGTAGATCTCCAATAGTATTTGAAAATTCTCTAGCTATAAAAGCAAATCTGAAAGTAAAAGGACTTGATACAATCCTTTTATAAAGCTCGTAAGTTTTGCTACTCAAAGATATTTATGAGTGTATGAGTGGTTTTTTTTTCAAAATATGTGTACGAATATCACGTGTGTGCCTAGTGCTTGTAGGGGACAAAAAAGCCATTGGATCTTTTAGGACTGGAGTTACAGAGAGTTGTGAACCACTCTATGGGTACTGGGAACAGAACTCAGGTGGTTTTATGCACTATGCCATCTCTCTAGCCTTCAGTTTAATTTCTTGGATTTTTAAAAAAGTAATTATCTCATAGATATGAAAGACCTGGAACTCTTTATGATGACTGGGGTGGCCTGGAACTCACAGAGATCCACCTGCCTCTGTCTCCACAGTGTTTGTATTAAAGCTGTTCAATACATGCCTGGCCTTCTAATTATTATAATGTAAAAATGTAACTTTGAACCTCAATGATAAGAGTCACATTTTTAAAATATGTCTTATTTGAAAGGGAAAAGGTCTTTTCATTAAATTTCTAATATGAAATTTGGGACAATTTTAAAAAGGCATTTAGTTCTTTAGGGATGTCTAGTAAAACACAGTAGATGCTGATATTATATGGCATGATTTTCTCAGTCATCAGACTAATTTCATTATTTAGAATTAATCATAAAACAAAATATAACACAAAATAGAAACATTTACACATTTAGGGATTAACTTTGAGTTTCCAAAAGGTGCATATTTTGCTTTTGAAAAGTAAATGGCATAACATATAAATACCTGATACTATTTAAAAATAAATTTATGCTAATATATATAGAATGGCAAGAGAAGTTTTAAAAAG